GATAATTTTGTGTACTACGCTTAGGTCAGACTGAATTTCAAGCCTAGTGGCCTAAGGTATTCTGTTGTGAGCAGAGGAGTGGAGGATTTTTCTTGTGAAATATCTCTAGATTCACTCAATTGTATTAATATCTGATATGCAGTGCGCATTTCAGACAGATGAGCTGTATTCAAGAATTGGTCTAGCAAATGTTTTGTGTGCTCTGGTTAACAGTATAATATTACCAGAGAAGAAGCTATGCAAGATTAGGTTAACCACTCTTTATGCCTTTTTGGCAATGTTATTACAGTGGGCTCTGGCACTTAGATAATTAGGTATGACTACTCCAAGGTCATTGACAGAGTGATGATCATCTACAAGTTCGTGTCCACCCAGCTTGTATTTGGTGTTCTGATTCTTTTTGCCAATGTGTAAGACAGAACATTTGTTGGTTGAGATTTGTAATTGCCAATTGTTTGACCATTCTGACACATAGTCAAGGTCTTTGTGAAGGGTGAAGGGTGGCATTGCCGGTGGTGTTAAATAGTTTTACATCAAAAGCAAAGAGAATGCAGTTGCTTATAATGTGATCACAAAGGTCATTTATGTAAAGTATAAAGAGTGTTGGTCCTGCCTTGGGGGATACCGTTGTTAACAGGTGCAGGATTTGATAGGGAACTCCCTATTTTGACCACTTGTTGCCGGTTTGACAGGAATGTAGCTATGCAATTATGTAGGGGTTCCGAGACACCATACTATTTCAGTTTTAGTAGTAGTTTGTAGTGTACCACTGAATCAAAGGCTTTACAGAAGTCTATGTAGTTGAGTTGTGTAGTTCATATTTTTTTGCAGTGTAGGAGTTGCAGATTACAGGACAACTTTTTTCTGAAACCAAATTGTTTGTTAGAGAGTAGTTTGTTTGTTTCTAAGTAGAGGGTAATGGATTGGTTTATGACTGACTCCATGACTTTGCAGGTGATGCAACATAAAGAGATTGAGCTGTAATTTTCAACTAGGCTGGGGTCACCTTTTTGAAGATAGGGATGGCTGTGGCTAATGACCATAGGTTGGGCATGGAGCTGATCCTGAAATATTTTTCAAAGATTATGATTAGAGGTTCAGCCATGGCAGTGGAAGCTTTTTTAAGAAATATGCACATCCTCTACCAGGTCCAATAGATAGAGATAATTTTAGGCTGCATAGTGCCTTTTCAACATTATCTTCTGTGAAATTGATTTGTGTTAGTTCATTGTAATTATTTGTGATACAACTAGGAAATATTGGGCATGAGCCATTCTTGTTTACAAAGACTGAGCTGAGGAATATGTTGAAGAGGTTCTCTTTAACAGCTTCATCATTACCGTCTTTGCCGTTAGGTCCTTTTGAGGATGGGATGGATCTCAAGTCTTTAAGTTGGTTGTTTACAAAATTATAGAAGGTGTGGGTGGATTCATGTGCAGAAGATTTTCTTTTTGATTGATATGATAATTGGTGCATTCAGTCTCTATTTGATGGCATAAGTTTTTGTAACGGCTTTTAAAGTTAACTAAGTAGCCAGTCTTGTTTTTTTGCCAAAGAGTTTTTGTGGGGGGATTGGAGCTTCCTTATTGTTTTGGGTNATCATCTCCACCATGATTTCTTTCAGTTTCTCCCCTCTTTCCTCTGGGATATTTTGAAATCTGAGAAGGAAGGCTGATCTCACCTCTACCTTGACTACACATTGGCTTTTTATCTGTTTTAATAGCAGTTCTAATGTTTTAGCTTTAATCGTTTGATGTTTTAATGTTTTAATCCTGCCACTGTTTTATTCTGTTATTTATGGTATAGTAAGTCACTCAGAGCCGCTTGATAGAGAGATGGGTGGCATACAAATTTTAAAAAATAAAATAAAAACAAAGTCTTTTTTTCCCCATGGATTTTCTTCCACCAAGGAATGTTATGTTCAGAACACAGCAAGAGAATACGCCAAGATCTATGCTGCCGAAACACAACCTCTCGAAGGCTTTGGAGAAGTACCTGAGTGAGTAGACTTTCACAACTTCCTGGGAAAATAAATAGAACCATTGCAGGACGGATGTCATTTAGAAGAAGCTCTGCTGTTTGATAAGGAAGGACGCTGAAACTAACATGTGTCAGCTGCTCTGTGCAAAGATCTCATATTTATTCCTAAGCAGTTATTATGGAGAATTTATTGGTAAAAGTTGGGAAAAATTATACATGCACAATTTATTCCTCCCTCCATCAACATCCTTGATTGGACAAATTGGTTTTGTTTTGTTTTTCTGGTGGGGTCTTCATGTTTGGTGAATTCAGAAAAATGTAGAAGGCCTTTAACTTCCCAAACTTCCCAGTTATTAAGCCCTGCAAGTTTAATCAAGAAATAGCATTTTTAGAACGTTTGGTAAGGCAGCTTGTCTAGAGGCCTGGGTGTCTATGGAGATTCTCAGTTATCCAGGTCGTAGTTTGTCAGAGTTTTGGCAGCGTGATTATTATTATGAGATAAGCCCAGCAGTAAAACACAGCACATAGCACACAGAGCCTTTAGACAATTAATAGTGGTTAATCTACAAATATATACAGACATGCATATGGAGAAAAAAATCCCTTTCCATTCACTCCGAACACAAGGAGAGAAATGAGATACACAATGAGAGAGAAAGGCCCTCTAATAATCATCTATATATGTGATGGTGAACCTATGGCACGTGTGCCACAGGTGGCATGCAGCGCCCTGTCTGCGGGCGCACGACCCATCGCCCCAGCTCAGCACCACCACGCATGTCCACCAGCTGATTTTCTGGTCTCTGCTGTGCAGATGGGGGGGGGCACATGCAAGAGACATGCAAGCATGCACGAGGAAGGTTGCGGGGTTGCATGTGCGGGAGGCACTGCTGTGCCCCCCCCGGCCCGTTTTTGGTCCCGGGAGGCTGCAGGCATGCATGGGGGGTAGGGGAAGTGTATGCAGGGGTGTCACACATGGGTGCAGTGCAAGCAGCTTTCGGCATGCAACAACAAAATGGTTATCCATCACTGACCTATATATATAGACACCTTCCATGCAATGAGTTCTCCTCCTTGCCGCAGCCTACAAATTACAGCTTACAATCTTACATCAACCGGCAGCTATTAAATCCTCAGTACCTGACATAGTTGTCCTGAAGATCCTTTTTAAACTTTATTTTTATTTTTATTATGAAGAAGAAGAAAAGAAGAAGAAAAGAAAGCAGGAAATTAAGGGAGGGAAAGGAAACGGGGAAAAGGGTGTGTGACGTAAAAGGGGGAAAGAGAAAAAGAAAGAAAAGGAGGCATTGACTTCCAACTTTTCCTAGCACAGTACAAGATAAACACACTCGAACCTCAACTTTTTGCTTTTACACATTCATATATAACTAGCCATTCCTATAACACCCAATCTTTCTAATCAACAACAACCAAGATCAAAGTTTCATTCTTTTTCTTCACAAACACAAATTCCGGGAGGGATATCCAAATAAGAAGTTATTTTCCTCTGTAAAATAATCAATTTAACCATTCCTGCTTTATCTTCTTTGCTATGGAAATAACGTGTATTTCTACTTGCACCTAGTAATTTTTGTGCGCTGTCACCATTTTTATTTACAAAATGCACGACTGCAGACCTGCCATTCACCATGTTATTGCTCTACAATTATTCCCATGCCTTTCACTTTGACTGCTCTTGTTCCATAAAACACTACTTAAAAAAAAAGAGAAACCTTGGGAATGTTTAAGCTTCCTCATTCATTTTCATTAGCATCCACAGTTTTTAACAGACAGGTTTATACTTTGGCCATTTGATTTTTAAAAAAAGCCAAGTGCATTTCTCTAAGTTTTTAAGATGTTGAAAGCTCAGACACGCATATATATTTTCTTCCAGTATATACATTTTAAAAGTAATTTGTTTTAATAGAGGCCTTTTGGGATATCTTTTTTTTTTTGAAAAAAATGCATACTTTTTCTTTCAATTTATCATCACACACAAGATGATGGAGAGCTAAAGGATAATTGTGTTTTGATTTGTATGTTAGTTCAATTATTGCAAATTAGCCTGTTTTATTTTAAAATCCAAAGCATAATTTAAAAAAAACCCTTGATCCCTCAATAGTCCAGACGACTTCAATTCAGGCCCAGCTTTCCAAGGTCCAAATGTTCAACACCTCAGACCATCCAGAAGAAACCAATGATGTATATAGGATGGTGAAAATGTACATCATTCAGTATCAGGAGACAGTTTCTAATTCCCCTCCCCCTCCCCTCCCCTCCCTTCCCTTTGCTCCCTTTCCTTCCCTCCACTTCCCCCTCACCTCTCCTTTCCTTTCCTCCCCTTTCCCCTTCCTCCCCTTCTCCTTCCCTTCCCTCCCCTTTCTCCTCTCCTTCCTCCCTTCCCCTCCCTTTCCTTCCCTTCGTTCCCCTTCGTTCCCCTTCCTTCCCTCTCCAGTCCCCTTTCTCTTCCTTCCCTTCCATTTCCTCCCCTCCCATTCCCCCTTCTCCTCCTCCTTCTTGTATGCCCTCTTCTACTCCACATTTCCTTCCCTGCTTAACAAATCCCAGCATACCATTCAGTATAAAGGGGTATTCACTATACAGATGTTTTGTACTGTCATTCTCGTTGTTTCCTAATTACTGGCCATGCTGAATGGGGCACATTTGTATTTGTATTTATTTGTCTTGTATGCCGCCCACTCCCGAAG